GCGCTGCGAGGAGTGCGGCAAGCGGCTGAATCCCGGCCAGCATGCTGAGGTAAATACTGCATCAGTTTGATTGATGGCAGGTCGTAGTATCCTAACAAATCTCCGTCTCCCTCCATTCATGATTCCCTTCTTAGCACAAAGGTGTGCCTTATTGCCATGTGCCCTGCTATGGAGCCCTGTTCGGACCCCAACTCTTTGGCCATGGCACGAGAGTTGAGTCACACAAGAGCTTTGGCATCAAGGGAGCCCAGAAATCGACTGGCGCTCAACCGAATGGACCCACACTGCCGCGAGATCATTTCGAGTCGAAGCTGAAGGTGCGCCAACCAATCGAATTCACTCAATCCTTGCACGCTAACACACTAATGATTCATTCGCAGCTCTACAATCAATTCTACGACAATAAAAGCCTCGAGATACGTAGCCGTGAGGTCAATAACCGCTTGATATTGGAGGGAGCCCTGCGCGTATATTGGGGAGTGCAAGGGGTAATCCACCTCAAGGAAGACGATGATCAGCGCACATTTGTGGTGCGCAAGAGGAATTCCTGTCGCAACTCCAAAGCGGATGTGAGCATATTTAGATTCTGCATCAGGAATATCTTTTAATCAAACATTTTACCCACAGGAGAGCAGTTCGGACAAAGAGAACGAAGCTAGCGAATCGCTGGCAGCGCCGACAACCACTACCGCCGAGGTAGATGCGCTCTCCACCGACGTGTCGCTGTCGGAGAGCATGACCTACGATTCGTGCAGCTTGAACGAAATATCCGAGCTGCCCACGACACCCGAAGATGCTTCAGCCAATACAACAGGAAACAGCAAGGAAGGGACAAATGGAAAGGTCACAAACGACGACGAGGATACAACCACGACGGACTCTTCAGGCACTCTGGTGGAGGGTGCGACGGCCAGCACCAGTTGTGTGTCCAGCACGCTGCCGTCAAAGCTCGACAATCTGGAGAAGCTCGACTGGGATGACATTGACGATCTGCTGCAGGTGGAAAGACGTCACAACCACAAGGATAAGATCTATGAAACGATGCCGGTGAAGCTGCCTTCGTCGCAATCCTCCAGCGACAGCTCCCCTAGCAAAACATCCACTGACAACACTACGACCACCACGGACTCAAGCTCTACACCATCATCGACCACCAACAACAGCAGCAGCACCACAGATAACTTTATGACCGCCACGGACTCGTTAACGACCAATACAAACACCCAAAATACAACCACAGTCAGCACCACGGCCACCACGCTAGACAATTACGAGACCGCTGACGATGCTACCCTGAAACCGATGGACTATGAGGACTTTAAGCGTAGTGTACATCAGGATTATGTCAACGGAACGAACTCCTTCAAGGAGCCAAATGATGGGACACTTAAGCGCAATCAGCCGATAGATCCCTCGCGCATACACGATTCCCTTAAGCTTTACGGCGAGAACTCGGTGATGAGCAAGAGCTTTAACTGCGAGCACGCGCTGCGCTCCCACATTGATCCATCGTTTATCAAAGACACCATGAACCTGCGCAGCAGCGTAGACCCCTCACGGTCCGCCCAGCGCCAGTACGCCCTACAAAAGAGCGGATCGGCGTCCGCATCAACGGTGCCCAGCAAGGAGCAGAGGAAACCATATCAGCAGGGGCGACAGCTCTTCGAAAAGGGCATAAATCGATCCAAATCTGGACCCAGTTGCTTTGTGTACTCGGACAGCGATGACGACGATGATAATACGCTGCGTCCCCAGCGCCTGGCCACCATAAGACGCAGTGATGTGCCTTCTCGTTTCATTCAAATCCAAATGGACTGTTATCCCAAAGAGAATGCTGGCGGTGGGTGCGGCAGCGAGGGAGAGTCAAGCCGTGCCGATGCACCGTCCATAACCAGCGGAGCTGCTGCAGGAGATGAACTAACTCAAACGGAGGAGCTCTATACAGCAAGCGACGGGGCAGCTGGTGCTGGCGGGGATTCACTTGGAACTTCTGGCCTACATGTAACCGAGGATGGAGTAGTGCTGAGGAGACCGCCCCGCACCGGAGCCGCAGCCATCAAACGACGCAGCGGCAACCGACGGTAAGTCAATGAAGCGTCCACCTTGTGAAAAGTATAATTATATTAGGCGTTTTCCATGTGACAGATCTCGTACCAAACTGAAACGTCGGTGCTCCATAAATGGCCATTATTACAATCGGGAGACTTCGTTTTTTACTCCCCCATATGGCTCTCAGATGTCTGTGTGGGTCTCATCAATGGTGACCACACCAGAGGTCATCAATTTGGTACTCGAAAAGTATAAGGTAGATATGGCCCCAGAGAACTTTTCGCTCTTTATTATGCGCGACAATGGGGAGCAGAAACGACTTAAAGATGATGAATATCCCTTGGTGACGCGTGTCACCCTGGGACCGCATGAGGATGTTGCTCGCCTGTTTTTGGTGGATACGCGCAAAACTGATGAAATCAGGTATGACTTCAGAGACACCATATCACGATGTATGTATATTCTAAGTCACTCAACTCTCTTTATCCGATTTAGTAATGAAGTTGCTCAATTTTTGAATCTATCGCTGCCCGAATGCCGTGCCATTCTGGAGCGTTATGAACAGGAAGTGGATCGCGAGGTGGCCAAAATAAAGGAAAGGTGTGTTTCTCACTTATATAATATTATGAAATATAATTTTAATAATATGATTTTCCCATTTTGAAGATACGCCGAGCTGCGTCGCCGCATTGTGAGCCGCATGGAATCTCTAAAAGTGCATTTGTAAACGCAGAATGAATCTCCAAAAGTAAAAGAACTTTTTTGAATAGCCATAAATATCAATTCGGCCAAAAAATATTAAGCGTCGCCAGCAGCTAAGCCAAAAGTATTCACTTTTTATACAACAACAAGAAAAAACATACGTATACATAAATATATTTTGATTTAGCATTTAGAACAAATTACGAATTAGCAACATTAGGCGGCCCAGTGAACAAAACGCAAAAAAAAAACAAAGCAGCTGCTGCACGTCGCAGTAATCATAAAAATCTCTATAATTACGTTCGTTTCTTCCCAGCCGAAACTAACAATTATGATCCAGGCATTTCCATTTTGTTTAGAAAGCGTTTAAGACTTGTAACTAACCAAAAAATAATTATTAATCCATGTACCACATTACCATGCGAATAGTTCTGTTCATTCTGTTGATGATAATCTACATGTGTGCGTGCGTGTGTCTTTGGAATCACGTTACTCGTACAATTGGTGTGTCATGTAAATGTATTGTTTAAAGTTTATCCAATAAGCCGTAAGTGGCAGTAGGCAAAAGTTCCCTCCCCCCTGGGACCTAGGAATCCCCTTTTTAACAAGCCATTGAACAAATGTGTAAAAATCCATTTGATTTCCTCTTGCAATGCTTGCGAAAAAATAACAATAACTATATACATAATACATATTGCATAACATGGACTTGTTGATTGAAAATCATTTGGAAATCCAATAAAATGTCAAATTTTACACGAAAAGGCAACTGCAACTGTGACCAGCCCAACCGCCCAGCAGCAGAGTGAGTTCTGAGTTTAAAGCCCCCACCGTCCCCTAAAAAGCAGCAAAAGTTTGTCAAGTTACGAGCCCCAGAGTGCAAAGAGGCGGATCTGAAGCCCAGAAGAAGCAGGAGGAGCAACAGCAGCAGTAGTAGTCACAAGTGTAAGCCGAATATTCAAAAAAGGCAGCTAACGCGCGCCAGCCGGGCATACAAGTACGGGAGTGGAGTGTCGAGTGTAGGCGGATTGTGGAACACACACACACACACACGCGAGAGGGGCCGAGAGGACGGCCAGCAAAGCTCTGTCCGGGCCAAAGCAGCCATCAAAGCATACAAGTCAATGATGCCATTATAATAGAGGAGCAGCAGCCGCAGCATCAGAGGAGCGTGTACGACTAAAGTAGGCAAACTCACACACACACACACGCCACACTCCAGGACGAAGCGGAGCCATTGTGTGTGTGTGCCTGGGGTGTGTGCGTGGCTATTAATTTGAAACTGACAGAGCCTACGGGTCCGAGAAGGCGAACGAGAACAAGAGCATGAACAAAAACGGGACCAAGACCGGGTCCGGAACAACGTGGCTGGGACTAGGGGGCTAGCTTTGGCCAGCCTGCGAGGCGCGCTGACGCTGATGCTGACGCGTTAAATGGTTTTGGGGTTTCCCGGCCAACAGCAGTCAACGCTGTCCAAGTGTGCCAAGCGCCAATACATAAAAATCAAAAGCCAGTGCCAGGGACATTGGCAGACAGCATCCAACAGCCAGCAGCCAGCAGCCAACATCGCAGCAGCCAAGCAACAAAAACTCAAGTCAATTTGGGATGTAGGGTCGCATTAGGCGCCAGTGGCAGGTTCACGACCCGTCGCCTGCCTTGGCCCCAGCAATTATCGTCTAAGAGAGCGCTGGACTGCTGTTGAGCTTCTCCTTGGGTGAGGAAAGAGCGTTCAGAGTCCGGAAAATCGATTTTGGATGAGTGCTGTTCGCTGGTATTTGGACCCATTGCTGTCTGTTTTGTTGGTGGTGGCGGTCTGGAAGTGCTTTAGCAGTTGTTGCTCCAACGGGAATGGGCGGAGTGGAGAGAGCGCTGGAGAGTAGTGGAATCCTAAAAGAGACAGAGAGAGAGAGAGAGAGTCGTGGACGCATTGCGCATACGCAGTGGAATACACTGTGAGAATAACCAAATATTCGCTTTAAAATTATTTAATAAACAGTCAAGATTTGCACCTGAATTTTTGCTATATCTGCTTCGGATTCGACGGAACAAAAAATCTTGTTTTCCGTGTTAAAATGTATATAAATAAAATATAACTTTGACTGTAAGTCGCCTAAACAGTGACAACTCTATGGCCATTTAAACGGTTCCAATCGCTCTCTTAGAATATCCTGCCACTCTCTTAGGCTGAGACGCGTCTGTCGCAAAATTCCAACGCTGTTTGTTGGTTGTGGCAGCCAGTCAGAAGACCAGCAGCGAGCCGCTCAGTTTACGTTTCGGCCGCGTTGCCTTCAGTTGTACTTTCTAGAGTGTTCCGTGCATTCCACAGCATCGTCAGAGGCGCCTCCGATTGCAAAACTCAACCAAAACTCATTGTCATTCATCGCTAGTTTTCTGTGTGCGATTCTGTGAGTGTGTGTGTGTGTCGTCTGTTGTGCGTGTGTCCACGGCCGTAGTTTTCCACTGGACACATAATTCTAGCATTTAACATTGCCTGCGATTCAGGCGCGCTCGTGATTTAGCAAGAGCGGAACCCGTCTACAAGGCGAATCATTTAAAGCACTTCCTCGAGCATCTCCTGTTCCTGTACGCCGTTTATCAGCCATGAAGCATTCGCCGCTGATTGCCAGCGCTTGTCTGGCACTGGTGTTGATGTCATCCAGCCTGATTGGCAGCTCTGAGGCCAAAAAGAAGAAGTATGTCGGCGAAACGGGCGGTGATTTTGAGTTTATCGATGAGGTAAGTCCCAAATGGCTTCACAGTGCGACCACCAGTCTCATTGACTGTCGTTGTCGTCTCCCTATCTGTCCCTGTTCCTCTGTGTCTGTCTCCGCTCCGACTCAGTCCCTATCCCGATCCCACTCCCAGTACCAGACCCCGTCTCGGTCCCAGGTTTGCCGTCTTCCTGTCTGTCTCTTACTTAATACATTTTAAGCTGACTGCTGACACTTGCCAACCCTCCAAGGGCCACAGAGTGTGAGCCAGAGAGAGAGACAGTGTTTGTGTGTGTGGTGTGTGTCTGTCATACTCGTACGATATAACGCAATTGCGCTTTTATTTGCTGCCCAACTTTTTGTTTTTTTCGCTTTCCAGGTCTTCTGGGCTTCGTCGTTGCTGAGGTTTCACACCAACTTCCTTGTTGTTTCCAATACGTTTTTCTAGCCCCGAAAAAAAAACCAACTTGCCAATTACTCACGCAAATCCGATTTGTAGTAGTTTGTAGTCGTTGCTAGGCCGCCTTCGAGGAGCTGTTGACTGTTATCCATGGCTCCGTTCTGGTATTTAGCACGCACCTGCCTACGTAGACTCAGTGAAGCATCGGATATCCAAGTCGATCCGAGATCCCGGATCTAATGGAATGGGATGCAAGGTGGCCGGGCATGTAGAAGACCCAGAGAACAACAAGGAAAATCAATAGCATTTGGCAGTCTTGTTGTCGTTTGGCTGCTCGTAAACTATGAAGTAAGCCGTAAGCTGCTTTCAGTTTGTCTGCCAGCACGCACCCCATCCTATTCCCTACTATTTCTCCGAACAGCCCACACAGAAACCCATCTTCCTCCCTCATCAATGACTGTTAGTCACAGACGCAACGTCGTCGAAGTTGTCGTCTTCGTCGCGCTGTTTTTCCTTCCATTTTCCTACCATTTTCTACATATTATTTGCCTGGCGCTTTGCGCTTGTTTTTTTCCTCGCTGGCTCCGTTTTTCTATTTGGACTAGTTCTTTTTTAAATCCCCTTTACTCTCCCTGAGCAAGGGTCAATTATATTCGTGCGAATGTATGAAAAAAGCTGGGATTAAATGAAGAAAGTTTATGGATCATAATTTGTTTTAATTGTAAATAGTGGTATTAGCCAGCCATCCTGTAGCAAATCGATGAAAAGCGTTCACTCGTTCACTATTATTACAATCGTATCAAATTTCTAGATCTTGTTTATATATTTACCTGTACTGCCATCGTAATCCTTTGAGTAGCGGGTATCTTTCAGTCGTAAAGCCATCTACAGCGTTTTAACTTGTTTTTCTTCTTCCGCTTTCGTTGTATTGCTATTTTTTTTTGTGGCTTGGTTTTTTGTATTTGTTTTGTTTGGCATTTTGGTTTTATTTCTCTCGCTTCCTTGCCTTTTTCCCTGGCTCTCCGCATTTCGCTTGTGCGTGGCCATTGTTGAGTCCCAACCAGACCCAATCCCAGCCGACCCACTCTCTGTGCGTGTGTATGTGCTAATAGTCTGATGTATGTATGAATGGAAAAGTGTGTGTGTGTGTGTGTGGGTGTGGGTTGTGTTGGCAGCCGTTAAATGCTCCCACACACCCACCCGTCCACCCATTCTACCACAAAACCCTGAAGAACGAGCGGCCTTCAAGCAAAGTTATTGCGATTCGCACAAAGTTTCCACAGCAAGCAAAGAAAGCAAAATTAAAAAAAAGAAAAGGCATTTCAAATTTTGGCCATGGCACAACCACATACGCAGAATTTTAAACAGTTGCCGAAAACCAAATCCACATGTGTCCTTTCGTCCTGTCCTCATACACAGATGCGATTACGAGAGCATGTGTTTGTTTTCGTGTTGATGTTGGGTGCGTGTTGGCCATACCAAAAAAAAATCACCACAATTTCAAGCAATTTACAGCATCAGCTCGAGTTTTCTGACTGCATAAATTTCACTTTGATGTCCTTTTATTTTCCTCTCATTTTTCTTTTTTATTTTCTTTAAGTTTACTTTTTATGTCATCTGCTTGGCTAATCGCACATTTTCGTTTCGTACCCCGCAGACATTCCCATTTCCATTTCCCAATGAATTTTATTGTTTATTCGCAAAGTTTGCGCTTTGCAAGTATTTGGAAAACGGCATAAATTATTTGAAAAGTTTATATATCCAAATTGTTTCAAGTTGAGTGTGATTTTCAATGGCCAGGGCCATAACCATGGCCATGTACCCCAAACGCATTGTGTTTAATTGAAAAGTTTTGCCTTGCGATTCCCTGTGCAAAGTTTCGGGGCCAAAAGTGTAATCTTGAGATGATTTCATTGGTTTTTCCTCCCTAATATTTGGTGGCTTAAAGCCGCAGCTTTATCTAAGCAATATCTGGAAGTAATACTTATTGGAACACAGCCTCGGCTTATACATAATAGAAATCCATTCTTTCGTTTTGCAAGGTAATTTCTTTGGTTTGCTGCCCATCAGCATTCGCCTTCGCATGGCGGAAATAATCCGCGCAACATGGAAGAGCTCCCCAAAGTAAGCAGCCCCAAAAATAAATAACCATAAACAGTTGACGTTAATCAAGCACAAAAGGAAGGCACAGCTCACAGAAACACACACAGAGAGAGACGTAAAGAGAGAGCGAGAGAAAGAAAGGATCCATAGAATCCAGTTATGAGTTATGCATCGCATACATTTCCATCCATTTCCCCGTCCAATTTCTATTCGTTTTGTGAGCCCCAGCATTAGTCATAAAAATGATAATAAATTAGCTCAGATCGTAAGGGAATTTCCCTTGATTTGCAACCATTTCCATGGGTTGGCTGTCAACTAAGCAATAATCCCTCGCTTATTCATGACTACTCGTATTTCAGGTTCTCTTTCAACTACTCCTCTCCATACAATTGGTATATCCTTATATGCATAATCAGCCAGACAAACAGCATTCACGAAGTCAGTGCCAGAGCCAGAGTCTGCCCAGAGCCATTCTTCTCCGGCTTTGGCAAAATGCTCTTATCCATCGATTACCCCACAAATGATGCTCTGTTTGTCAGCAGAAAATAAATCTTTGCATTGTGCATTTTGCAATTTGAGCTCATGGAAATTGTGTCGTTGCTGCATAAAATAAAATGTGAATAAAATGCGAATAAAACTCAGCTCTGCCTCGGGATAGAGTCCCCCCTCTGCCTCGCGTACACGACAGCTCCACACAGACTACAATGACAGCTGAGGCTTCAGTGAAATGCAGTGCGTGAGTACGAGTAGATGCAAATACTCCTCCACTTCAGTGCCGTTGTCTGTGTGTGAAATTGCTGCCAGCCATAAAGTTGATATGCATAATTTCGTATAAGCGCCACTTAGAGTGGCACACAGCAGACACTCCATCCTCCACTTCTACCCATCCCAACAGAACAGAAAAACTAAATCAAAATCAAAATGTGTGCAAATTACAGTTTTACTTGTAGCTTCCTCCTCGCCCCTCGTCGAGTGGTCAGTCACTCGAGCATGAGATACATTTTTATGAGCATGAGAGGGATAATGTCTGGCTGACTACCAGGCGCGTATCCGATCTCCCAACATCCGTTTGACTCCAGTCTGACTTTGTCACTCGCACATACAGAAGTACATATGTGTAAGTTTGGACATACAAAACGAACTACGGATATATGGTGCAAGTTATGTAATAAACTTTTATGTTGTCAAACTGTTGCATAAATTGCCAACACGCAGACAAAAAAGTTTTACCAGCATGCTAACTAGCTGGAATGGGAGATGTGTGTGTATTCTACGGGTAGCGTACATAGCTCGAGAAGTTATAAAAATGGCTGTAAAAGTTAACGACATTCGCATACGTATGGCCTAGGCATTAGCACCTGTTTAGGGAACCCGATTAGGACCGCAGCTTAGTAAAGTTCAGGTGAAGACAGCTTTGGCTTTCTGCAGACTTCTCTCGGTTCGCTTTCATTAGAATTGCAATTGCAATTTTCCGACCCCATTCCCATGGTTCTCGGGGCTAAGAATATTTGAATATTGCATGCCAATGTGAATGCCAATTTTTGGTGCCGTGCGGAGGGGGAGGTAACCTCACAGGCTGCAAATTCTGAAACTTGCAGTTTTCTTTAGCCTGCAAAATTTCCCAGGAGTGAACACAGCCACCACGAGCCTGAAGGAAATATGACCCGAACATAACAATTTCTCTTGTCTTGGAAGGAAAAAAAAAGCTCGGAGTGGAACATGAAAACTTATGAATCCGTTGCAAAGTTTTGCTCACTCTTTTATTCACCGGTTCAGGAGCAGTTCCCTCAATTCCATCCATCCATCCGTCCATCCTGGCCACGTTCCCACTTATCTACCTTGTTCTGCATTCCGTTTTCGTCTGCTTTATGGTCTACGCTATCGCATTGTGTTCCGTGTCCTTGCCAATCGCACTCGCTGTTGGCCTTTTCCCGGCTCCTGGCACCTCCTGCCTTCTGCCTCCTGACTCGGTTAATTTCTTTGTGGGAAAAGTCGAGACGTGCACGTACACATTAGCAAATTGCCTGCATGTGCCCGGGATGTAACAGTCCATGGCTCTGCATGAGATGTGGGCTCTGGCATGTGCAGGGAAATGCCTGGCAAATGGCTTTGCAGACCAACAAAAAAAGGCTGAAAATCGTTTATGAAATGAAGAGCACGGACAGGCCCAGAGCAGCCAGCCAGCCAGCAACTGGATGCGGTTCTGCCTCAGGTAGTAGCCTCGATTTTCCTTTGATCCTCCAGAATAATTAACAGCTTAACTCGGATTTGGGCCGAACTGAACCAATGTGTTCCACTTAAGAGCCTACTCACAGCGACATCCCTTAAGCTGTTCGCTGTTTTACATGGTCGGTTCTGCTGCTGTTGTTGAGCATGGCTCATGCATCATAAATCTTATAGACAGGGTCTCCACACCGCCCCATTCCCAATAAGACAAATTGGTTTTGCAGCAACACAACTTTGATGTCAAACTAAAAAATTTTTTTGCTGCCACTTCAATGTAAAGGAGAAAACTTGAGCAA